GCCCTTGATAGGTTTTCTATTTTACCGGTCTCGTGGTGGTAGTTGGGAGACCGGGTTATAGGATCGTTTGCCGTACTATCAAGGGGGGCTCTCAAGTTGGTAGCTTGATCGTATCGTTAGTAGAGAGCTCAAACCATTGCATCCTTGCATCATGTTTCTTTGTTCTTGTTTGGTTCTCTTTGTGAGTCTTAGAGCTTATGGTCATCTTGATGACAAGCTTGAGTTCATCGAAAACGGAGTTCGCATGCGTCTTCTATGATGTTTTCGGTGTTGGAGGTTTTACCGGTCTTATCCAAGGAAGGGTTCTCACCATTTTATTATGGGCCTTTTCTCATTTGCTTCTTATTTATATTTCTATCAAGATTGTGTTAGCCCTTGTTGCTAGCCTTCCAACAAACTTGGTTTCATCGAATTCGGAGCTCGTATGCGAAAGTTGTGGCTGTTTTGATATTGCCTGTTTTACATAGAGAGGTTGTACCGCCGTAGAGAGGTTGTACCGGTTGACCGGTACAACCGGTGTTTGGAGCGGTTGTACCGCTCCAGAATTGGTCTGGAGGTTGTACCGGCCATGTACCGCTCTACCACCGGACTAGTTTCTGTTTTGGAGCGGTTCTTGGGCGGTTGTTGACCGGTTTAACCGGTCTAACCGGTACTACCGGTTCCCCAGGCTGTTGTACCGCTTAGAGCTTTTCCCAGGTTGGTTTTTCCTCTGCTTTGGCCGGTTGTACCGGTTCGTGCACCGGTTGTACCGGTCCTACAGGTTTCTGCACATAACGGGCAGATTCGTGGGGACCTATTTAAGGGGGTCTTCTTCCCCAATGGTTCCCCATCTCTTTAGCTCGTTTTTGCCCCCATTGTTGACCTTCTTCGAGCTTGCTAACTCTCAATCCCTCCATGGATTCTTGCTAGTTTTTGAGGGAAAAGAGAGAGGAGATCTAGATCCACATTTCCACCAATCACTTTCTCCTCTATGTGAGGGGAACCCCTTGGATCTAGTTCTTGGAGTTCTTGGTGTTCTCCTTCTTGTTCTTCCTCTCATTTTCCTCCCTAGCATTAGTTTCTTCGGTGGGATTTGAGAGAGAAGGACTTGGGCACTCCGTGTGCCCTTGCCATTGCATTTGGTGCATTGGTTTGAGTTCTCCACAGTGATACGTGGAAGTTACAAGTTGAGAAGCTTATTACTCTTGGGTGCTTGGTGCCCTTGAGCTTGTTCCTCTTGGGTGCTTGGGCGCCTTAGACGGTTGGTGGTGTTCGGAGCTCAATCATTGTGGTGTAAAGCTCTGGGCAAGCGTCGGGGTCTCCAATTAGGTTGTGGAGATCGCCCCGAGCAATTTGACGGGTTCCGGTGACCGCCCCCAAGGGTTGCCAAAGTGTACGAGTTCGGTGACCGCCCCCAAGGGTTGCCATTTGTACGGGTTCGGTGACCACCCTCAAGGGTCCCTTAGTGGAATCACGGCATCTTGCATTGTGCAAGGGCGTGAGGAGATTACGGTGGCCCTAGTGGCTTCTTGGGGAGCATTGTGCCTCCACACTGCTCCAAACGGAGATTAGCATCCGCAAGGGTGTGAACTTCGGGATACATCATCATCTCCGCGTGCCTCGGTTATCTCTTACCCGAGCCCTTTACTTATGCACTTTACTTTGTGATAGCCATATTGTTCTTTGTCATATATCTTGCTATCGCATAGTTACTTATCTTGCTTAGCATAAGTTGTTGGTGCACATAGGTGAGCCTAGTTGTTTTAGGTTTTGTGCTTGACAAATTAACCGCTAGGTTTATTCCGCATTTGTTCAAGCCTAAAACGTAATTATTTTAAAGCGCCTATTCACCCCCCCTCTAGGCGACATCCACGATCTTTCAATAAGGCCACTATGAAATATAGGTTTTGCATCTATACAAGGCCACCAACAGTAATCGGGGCAAAATTAAGGATATTTTCTCGTACTAGCAACCTGTTTAATAGTTGCATGCATGCAGTCATAATGGCAGTTAGCTACTTCCTCCACTCAGTTTTCTTGCATGCATGTGGGGTATTAATGATCCCTGTAAACGAAAAGAAAAACCGACTTTCAAAGCAGACATTAAATTTTACATTGGTACCTGTAATTTGAGTTTGTGGCCTTGTATATAAAAATGGAGGGAGTATTATTTTTATTTGTGTCTAGAGTTGTGTTGTGATTTCTTCCCGTGAGTCTCTGATCTTGATCGTAAACATTTGCATGTATGATTAGTGTACAATTGAATCGGGGGCGTCACACCAAACCAATAATCAAAGAAGAAATAGGACGCTATAGTAATCATGCATAAAAGAGTTTAGAGAAAACTCAAATAATACTCATGGATAGATCTGATCATAAACTCACAATTCATCAGATCCCAACAAACACACCGCAAAAAGTCATTATATCAAATAGATCTCCAAGAACATCGATGAGAACATTGTATTGAAGATCAAAAAGAGAGAAGAAGCCATCTAGCTACTAACTACGGACCCGTAGGTCTGTGGTAAACTACTCACGCATCATCAGAGGGCAGCAAGGATGATGAAGAGCCCCCTCCGTGATCGAATCCTCCTCCGATAGAGTGCTAGAAAAGGCCTCCAGATGGTATCTCATGGTTTTGGAACTTGCGGCGGCGGAAAGAGTATTTCATGGACTCCTATGTTGGTTTCACGATTTTAGATAATTTATAGAGGCGGAGTTAGGTCAAACGGAGCCACGTGGGCCCCACAAGCTATCAGGGCGCGCCCTGGTGCCTTGTGGGCCACTGCTCCATCTTCTCGTCCCCTCCAGAAGCTTCCAGAGTCTCTTATTGCTAGAAAAAAATCTCCAAAAAGTTTTGTGGCATTTGGTCTTCGTTTGGTACTGATATTCCGCGAAACCAAAAACAAGCAAAAACAGTAACTGGTACTAGGCACTAAGTTAATAGGTTAGTCCTAAAACATGATATATAATTGCTTGTAGGTTTTTATAAAACATCCAAGATTGATAATATAACAACATGGAACAATAAAAAAATTTTATAGATACGTTGGAGACGTATCAACGTATTGTTCACACAGGAACGCGTCACCGTATACCCTCGACGCCGGGGGTGATGCACCACGGCTCACGTCGAAGGAGACTCGCCTGAAGCGTAGTACGCAAGACAATTCGGCGGGCGCTTTTCTAGACCTAAAAGCCCACACGCCTGGGAGGGACCCCGTCAGGGCGCACAGTGGCTATGGGCTGCCCTAGGTCAACCTGATGGCCCCTAGGCCCTCGAGGTTCACCGCCCTGCAACAAGAAGAATGAACAAAAAAATGAGGAGGAAGAAGAACAAGGTAGAAAGATAAAGGTAAAGGTAAAAAATGGTAGATTGATTATTTGATTGTGTATTGTTTAATCGGCTGCCACCCCTTACATATATATGAGGCGGCTGGACTTCTTATACAATAAAAGGACTCAAATCATGTCCAAATCATCAAAAGTTACCCTAACTCGGACTACGAGGGCCGGAACTTCCGGTCCGGCCTGGAACTTCCGGGCTCAAATTATATCAAGTAGCCCTCTTGCACTGAATCTGCAGGTCGCATATGACTTCGGATCGTGATGGTCCAAAAAGTAAAGTTGTAGATCTTGAAACGGAGAAAAAAAATCATCTTTTAACTACTTTTTCACCGGAGGTCATCTTGATGTGGAATTCGGCCTGCAAATCTGCAAATAATCTTGAATTCCAATTTTCGGGGTGCAGCGCGTGCAAACTTTCCGTTTAGCCTGGAACCTCCCTGGAACTTTCGGGGCTGATTTTTGTAGCACACTGTTTTGGCTCTAACTATTATATACGAATTCAGATTGAGATAATTTTTATATCAAAATCAATTGTTTTCGATGAGATGAAGACAATTCGTGTAGAAAGTTTTCTCATATGAGGCTGTACTGGGGCGTAATTGTCCGAACAATGCTCTACACACAAATCCTAGTACTTCGAGCACCACTTCGGACCTCGAGATGAGACCGGACGGGGATGGGCCAAACTTCAAAGATGTTCATGTCGACACCACAAAACTTTTTCATGTAGATCACTTCTCCATTTGAGGTCATCTTAATTGAGTTTTTTTCCATTCCTCAATCCATACAATTGTATGTCATCAATACCAAACACAAACATTAAAGACCTATATGCATTAGTGAGTGAATGTGAATATTTGTAGGGATCTAGTAGTGGCCTTGAACTGGCAGCGCCGATGTTGAGGTCCTAGAGTTCTCCAGTGCTGCAACCAGCGAAGGGTCATGCAGTGAGCTCGCCCATGGTGTTTGCTACGAGAGTGGAGCCGATGGCTTTTTTGCAGGAACCATGACCACGATGAGCTACAACAATGGTCACGGCGAGCTGAACCGCACCCCTCGGATTCTGTAACGGCGACCACGATGAGTTGGAACCGGAAGAACCACGGGGGAGTTGTCGGGAAGCCGCATGGCGAGTCGGTCGACATTGCAGGAAATGCGAGCGACGGAGACTTACTAGAATGGCGGACGACTACATCAAAGGACGTCGGGTGCTACAACGGCCTGGTGCCCAATCTACAAACAACATTTGCGAGCTGCAACCAACGATGGCAGGCGAGAGGGCGCCTACAACGCTGGTGCCGCCGAGGGCGTAACACCGACGAACGCGGCCACCATGCCTTGCGAGGTGTGCGCGTTGGAGGAGAGGCGTGCAGGGCGCGGTGGCGACTAGCTGATATGAGGTGATTTTTTCAGCACGTGTTGGTGAGAAGGAAGATGAATCGAGAGGGAATCCAACGGCTACGGGAACCCATATCAAACGGCTTGTGAGGCCCCCGTTGTGGATCATGGCCGGTTGGCCGGCGCCTATGTCGCGAGAAATGGGGTAATTTCTAATTTGCTACCAGGGGCTGACATATCGGGGCCACTTACAAGCGAACTGAAAGAAAGCTTTCTCGTTTTCAGCCAGTGTCGATCATTCCCACTCCTGAACCCTAAACCCAGCCGTCGCCATGGCCGCCGCCGTCCGCCTCTTCCTGCGCCGCCGCCTCGCCACGGCCACCGCCACGCCTCCGACCCCGGCCTCCATCCTCAACCCATCATCCCCGACCACCCCGCTCACCTCGCAGCAGAAGACCCGCCTCGCCATCTCCCTCCTCAAGTCCTCCCCGCCGCCGCCCCCCGACCAGATCCTCTCCATCTGCCGCGCCGCCGCACTCTCCCCAAAGACCCACCTCGACCGTGTTGCTCTCTCCCTCGCCACCTCGAGGCTCTCCACCGCGCCGGACTCCCTCCGAGACCTCACATCCTCTCTTCTCATCCCCCACCACGCCCCCCACGCCATCGTGCTCTTTGGCCAGGCCGGCCTCCTCCCCGACGCCATCTCCACCTTCCAGTCATCTCCCTCCACCCGCTCCCTCAACGCCCTCCTCTTCGCCTGCATCGTCGCCGGCAACCATGCCGAGGCCGCTCGCATCTTCCAGACCTTCCCCGACGCCCACCGCGTCAAGCCCAACGCCGAGACATTCAACTCCATTATAAAATCCTTCTCCGAGTCCGGCACCACAAGGTCCTTCTACTCGGTGTTCGATGAAATGTGCAAGGAGGGCGTGAAGCCCACCGCCACCACATTTACTGCCGCGATTGCTGGGTTTTACAAGGAGGAGCGCTTTGATGATGTAGAGAAGGTGATTAAGCTCATGAAGAAGCACGGCTGTGGCGAGTCACTGCAAGTGTACAATGCAAGGGTTCAGGGGCTGTGCAAGCTTGGCCGGAATGGTGATGCCAGGGCATTACTGAGTGAGATGGCCAAGAAAGGGACGAAACCAAACTGGGTTACTTATAACCATTTGATTTATGGATTCTGTAAGGAAGGGGATTTGGAGGAAGCGAAGCGGCTGTACAAGGAGATGGGAAAGAAGGGGCTTGTTGGGGATAGTGGCTTCTATTTTACTGTCATTTTTCACCTTTGTAAGGCTGGCGATTTTGATACTGCCCTTGGTGTATACAATGAGATAATACCTAGGAATTGGGTACCGTGCTTCTCGACCATGAAGATGCTTGTGAATGGGCTTGCTGGGAGCTCGAGAATCGACGAGGCAAAAGGGATCATTGAGAAGATGAAGGAGAAATTCCCGGACAGAGATGAAGGGTGGAAAGAGGTAGAGGAGGCATTACCTCAATAGAATAACCACTCGCAGGTATTGTTTTCCTACTTCATGTTCTTAGAAACCAATACACAACTTCAATTTGAGAATACTGATGTCTGAGTATGTTGTCTGGCTTATTAAATTTGCCATTTCACATTCCATAAACCTGCAATATTACAATATGCATTATACAAACTGTTCTATATCCGGAAGATGTTGCAGTTCAATGGTAAAGTAATGTCCTTCTGTAGGACCTTAATCTACACCATGAGGCTCTGCAACTTAGATGTTTTTCCGTTTCACTTCAGTATTTGTTCCTCTTGGTTCGAGTCCAGAATGAACTGCATCTTAGAGCTGCGTTTTCTGCGTTCCAGTGTTTCGGTCCTCTATAGGATATAATATGTTACTTTTCAGTAACATAGATTGCTTCCAAAAGGTCATAGTAATATAGGATTTACAAAATTGTTGTCAGTTAGCATATCCATGTCTATAATAATATATATGACTTTCACAATAGTCGTGTATATTAGCAAGAGCCTTGTATTCATTAGTTTGATGTATGTTACTCCCTCCATCCCATAATATAAGATCTTATTACATACAATATGAAAGATCTTAAATTTTGGGTCGGAGGGGGTAGTATAGGATCTGAAAGGAATCGGGGTTCTCATTTATCCGGACAGCTGATCAGGATTTTCAAATTTGTAAGGAAAAGGATGCATTCTGTAGTAGATCAACATTGCTTTTAATGAGAAATTGGAACGGTTTAAGTAGTACTTGTAATAACTGTGGAAAATTAATTAGATTATAGAGCGTGAGCCGTGAGGTAGATTTTATTCCCCTCGGAGGTATCAAATCATACTCCCTCCGTTCCAAAATAAGTGTCACTGGTTTAGTACAAATTTAGTACAAAGTTGTACTAAATCAGCGACATTTATTTCGGGGCGGAGGGAGTACATAACTAATAGGAAGTTGGAGGCGCACCAGCAGACGATTTAGATTTAGAGTTTCATATTTTCTTTCATGACTGGTAGCATATGTAAGTGTTGCAGAAATGTCGAGACTTTGCAGAGAAACTCCTGATAATTAATATTGAATGCACATCTTGAGCAGTGGGTACTTGACCTGAGTCAAACTACTACTAGTTACTACTAGTTATTTGAGAACCCACATAGTTTTACAAGTGGAGATTTGAGAGCAGATTAATGGGTCATTACTTTGGTGATGGTTGCAGCCATTGAATGGAATTGTTTGTAAAGTGACCGAGTAGTACAATTTGCAATATTTATATATGTCATCTCGTAATCTTTTTGTGCTAAATTAAACATATCAATGCTGTCATCCCATTTGAACTAGTTTTCTAAAAAGGGCAGCCCGGTGCATATAGCTCCCGCTTGCGCAGGGTCCGGGGAAGGGTCCGACCACTTTGGATCTATTGTACGCTGCCTTTCCCTACATTTTTGAACTAGTTTTCTAGTCCAGAAGAATTGTTGTGAACCACTGTCTCACCTTATAAAAGGTCAGTGTGTAAAAGTTTCTAGTAATGTATTCCGAATAGGCAAACAGCACAAGATTATTTTTTCTTGAGAATACCTATTATTATTTCTGATGGCCGGTAGCTGAGAGAGTTTAGCCAGATTAATTAGGTTAGGTTAATTGAGGAGTCTTACTTCAGGGACTTTGAAAATGTTCTAAATGAACTTTAAGAGCAAAGGTGTGTGAATCCGAGCGTGTAAAATTCTGGTTGCAAGCATCTTGATTTTATACTAACATTTATAACAGTACGAGAATATGACCTGATAATTATACTAACTTTCAGTAAACATCAACTCTATAAAAGTATGCTTCATTTCAAGCCCCTGTTCCAGTTGAAAAACTTGATCACCATGCATCACTAGCATAAAATTCATTACATTCATTTTATGTGGCTTCATATAGAGATGGGATATTAATGCACATTGCATAATTTTTTTTGCTTTCCAGATGAAAGACTGCACTGGTCAGTGATTCAAATTGAAGTTTGTCGCTGACCATCCCTTCTTAAAATGTTTGTTCTTGCGTGCTGAAAACGTGGTTAGCAGTTGGGAACTGCAACAACATTTGTTGGACTGTTCTAAGCACATGGAGCTTTGTTTAAGATGTAATTTTGCTATTAGAATATGCTAGTCCCAGTTGCTGTTATAAATTATCTCCTGTCAAAGAATTATTGAGGCGGTTGTCAAAACCATGATCTTTGAGGTAAGGCACCTGTTTGATATTTTTTGGATACTCTGTTCTTTGGTATGCTCATGCAATTTATAGCTTGATTTATTTATAAGGGGTAGGAGATAATAATAACTCTACCTTAAGTCGGTATCCCACAATGGATACAATGTGATCTGCATAGCTTGTCTATACATGGTCCAGAACTAACACGAAAGTGAAGAGTGCAAGCAGTCTGCAAGAATCTGTGATTTCTGCTGATGCATGTCAGTAGGTTACTAATGCAGCAGGGCCACATGCATGTCGTGTAGTACTACTTTCTTCGATTGAAGGCGGAATACCCCTGTATAACTGTGTTTAGCAGGGCGCTCTGCTGCTGGCTCCTGGAAAAGCAAAAGAAAGCTAGAACGTAAACATTGTACACCTCAAAGAATATTCTTACAAACAACTTAGATTATTCAATCTAGGACCTATATAAGTTTATTTCATGTGTGCTAGAATTAGATAAGTAGATTTGATACTTAGGTAGGTTCTAATCCATGAGATCATGCATTTCTTATCATGAAAATGTTCTTAACGGATATATGTCTTTGAACTCTAGTGAAGAATTGAGGTTTGTTGGTAGTATTTGTCACAGCTTTAGCTCATTATCCAGAATTTGTGACAGTTGATTTTTTGTGGATGCTAGCAATGTGCCAGATAGGACTTGTTTTCACCATGGTACCTCTAATATACTGGTAGCTCAATTTTTTTCCTCTAGAAGTTTTAGGTTTGTGTTTAGGCGGTATGGACAAACCAATATTAAGAGTTGCAAGGATCAATTAGTCAACCAAACCCTGTGACATTGTGCAACATACTATTTTATTTTTGCATCCTAATTGCTTATCTTATCAGATTCAGATTGTGTCTTAAAGTTTTCCATACCTCATTTCTTTTCATTTGTCATTTTTGGAACCATACATCTAAGTAGGTAGCGCCCTCGCTGGATGCATCTAAGTAGGTAGCGCCCTCACTGGATATAACGGGATCCACATAGCTTGTCTCCCTACATGGTCCAGAATTTTACAGAAAAGTTCACACAAAAGTGAAGACGGGGATCAGACATCAGCATCCAAGAATCCTTATGATGTCTTCCAAGCTAAAAGCAGCAATTACTGTCAGTGCACAAACTGTTTCAGAAAATACAAATAGCCGAAAATGCTTAGGTTACCTATACCCAGAAATCTAAAACCATTTGCCTGTGTGGACAGAAATTCACAGGTCTTCAGTTGCAAATAAATGTCATTCCTATTTTTTCATTCCAGTTATGCCCACAATGATCATATATATACAAGAGGATCACGGCGACGTGATTGCATTAACTCATGCACTTTCCCGACCTCACCATAAATTCCTTCCCGAAAAGGAATCATACTCTGGCTAATTTAGTTAAGAAATCTGTTTTAAATCTATTTTGGAGGATCCCTGCTTCGATTGAAAGGAACTTCATAGAAATTTTGGAGAATTTGTATCCTTATGAATTCTCCCTATACAGGCTGTTTGACTCGTAGGATTGAAATCGGTTAGGAATTTTGAACTCTATTTTGGAAGAAAACTTCCATCCACTCAAACCTCTTTGCACATTTCATTCGTCTTTTTCTGTGGCGTCAAGCACTCACTGCTCAAAGTTCCTGTGGTTTACTAACACGTAAGGTTCAACATGACATTCCACTCCAATCCTATGTTCTTTCTGTTCCTACATTTTGAAAACCCTGCAAATCAAAGAGGCCATAGTTGAGAAATGAAAAGTTTACAAGGTTAGGATGGTTGTGAAAAGAGGTAAGTCCCGCGCCACGAGGAAGGAAAATGCTTGACCGTGACCGTATACCGCTTGTGTATCCAGCGGCAAGCAGTGCGCGGCTAGGCTGCTTGGTTGTCGACTCATCATTCCTCTGTTCGCAAATCGACCAGCATGAAGCATACGTGTGGTCATCACAACCACACATACTACCAAACCTGAGAGACAATCCAGTCCAAGTGGAGTTCTGTTGGCAAGTCGAGATTCCTGCCCGTCCCAACATGAAGTGGGGAACATGAAGTGGGTCACTCGTAATTCATATGGCCGTTAATACAAGTTGAGATTTGGACCTTCTTTTGCCCTTCTTTGCAGGATCTTTTGCCTCTGCTGTCACACATTTAAAGCTGGATGAACCTGTCGGTGTGAACCACAAACACCCAACGAAAGCTACTCCTACGATGTCGCCATCTTACGTTTTCTCTCTCACCTTTTTCAGACATGAAGTTTCCACACTCGAGCTCAAATGCATCCCCGTGAACAGTAAAAATAAAAAAAAAGTTACAGAATTCAAAAAATTCTTAAACTGTTTGGCAACAAACATTGCTGAATTTTTGACATATGTGCAAATTTTCATTACATCGAACGAACCGTGTATGCATGGTAGAAAAATTACTCTCCTAGTGAGAGGAGCGGCAACTGATTATATCCAAGAAACCCCCCCGGAAAATCTACACTGGTGTATGCATTTTGTTCCTAGTGTAATCTCACTCAATCATGTTCTCAAAACAAAAAACTCACACCTTCAAAACCAAATAAATCTCACTCCCATCAAGTTCTCAAAAACATTCTTATATTATGGGACAGAGGGAGTATTTCGCACCTTCAAAAATAAATAAATCTCACTCCATCATGTACACAATTTTCAGGCCTGCGATGTTAACCTTCCCATGTCTAGGCACCAATGTCACCGTCACACTCTCGTCTCCATCGGCACCCAAATCTTCCAGGAGCTCGTTCAACGCCACCCTCATGCTCGTTTCTGTCCTCATTCCCTTCC